GTTTCTTGAGTTATTATGGGGTAAGAAGAAGGTGGGTAGTGGCAGGCAATATGATTGCGTAAGCCTTCTTTCCTTAGGAAAGCCATCGAGCAGCATGCATTATTCACAGGGTCATTGCTGCAAGCCAAAGAGAGCTAATAAAAATTACAAGACACTTAGGGTCAGGATTATGTTCATTTTCCTTACAGCAGAACTGAAAGCCACAGGAGATCTCTCCTCTGCTTTGCCAGTCTCACTTTGATGTTCAGAGAACATTTCACGGGGTGTTTCACTTCCCACCAAGAGGAGAGGGAGTCCACATTTTACCCATCTGTGGCCCACAGCAATGACACGGTCAAAATGGAAATGCCACAAACTGTGACTTGTAGCATCCATAATGTGCCGTATTGGTTAGTAATAAAGCTGAAGACGAGGCATTGCAGAATCCAAGTGTAGGCATCGCTTGGCCATGGACAATGATTTAGCCAGTATTGGTATACAGTGTATTCAATAGTTTGATTTAGTCATGTCAAGGACCATTTATTAACAGCATATTTTTCTTACCATCAGTAATATTTACATAACTAGGGATTTAAGAAATATTCAGTGAAATTCCTAATCTAACACTATGATATAGAGTAAATCCCTAACAAAAGGCAAATTTGCTCAACAACGTAGGAGCTTCTGACAGGTGTTAACTTCAGAAGTCTCTAAGCCAGCTCTTTTTGAATGGACTGATACTCAGATGGAAAATACTGAATACAATTTTAAGGAGACAAAGCCTAAAAGATGAATAAGCATGATATCTAACAAGCACTTTGAATGTAGGATTAGGAGACCACCTGGGACAGAAATGTGCCTTGCTGAAGCTGAGAGCAGTTGCACTAAGCATTCAGTTGTTGCCTTGTACAGTTTGGTCTTGGGTGGGTTATTGTCTTAATAGTTTTTGTCTAACATCATCTCTAATTAGCTCTTTTCCACAACATGCTGGTCATTACAAAGAGGATGTCTCATGCTGTGCTTTCAGACCTGTTTTAGGCAGGCCTCTTCTGCTCCCTGCCCATCCTCAGGGTCACCCAGAGTTGCCTTCTCCCCCCTCTCTCTTACCCAAGCTTTGCTTCCTTTCCCCTGCCAGCTCTGGCCACACAGTCTGTCTCCTCTCCCCTTTCAACCCTACCCCCAGCCCCCAGCACAGCCAGCAAGCCTCTCCCACCACCCACAGCTGGGCACCAAGGGTGCGGTGCTGCCTCTTGGCTGCAGGAAAGCTGTACGCAGTCATTTAATGTATTTCAGGCCAAAAAGAGAGACGTGGCTAATTAAAACATCATCACTGCACAAAGGACATGCTCACATGCGTAGGAGGTTTCTAAATGCAGAAAGATGCATTACTCTGGCCTCGGGGAAACGGAGGTAGGTCTTTGTTGATTAAATATTGTAGAGAGGGAGGAAAGAATAGAAAAGGCTATGTGTAGCTGAGTTGGAAGGACGGCTTGGCAGAGCACAAGTCAGAAGGCTCAGTTCTTTAAACAGCTTGTCAAAATCCATTACCAAACATAGCGGAAAACAAATTCAGCGCAAGTGCTTTCCAACTTTCCCCTTCACAATCAGGTAACAGTAAGAGGATGGTTAAAGACCATCCCAGACAGCTTCCAGGAACTTACACAAACTCTCTAAATGTTCTAATGAATCAAAGTGCCTCTGCTTCATAATCCCTCACGGCTTGTAATAAATCTGTCCACTAAGTAGGCTTATTTATTTTTATAGTAAGTGATCACAGGCAGCAGAATATCCTCCATACTGCTTCAGCTCTTCCACCGCTGTTCATACTCTGGGTTGGGGGGTCAGGGACTCTCCCAAGAGGAGCCCCGTAGGAAGAACGCCCGCTGCGTGCGATGGCAGTGGCACAGCCGGGGTACCTCCTAGTTGTACTGCTGTGACAACATTTACTGTGCTGACAGAGCAGGTAGGGTAACATCTCTCCACTGGCCCTGGCAGCTGATTAGGAAGCAACTATTAACTCCTAGTTACAATTACCATCCCCTACCTAGTTCCCTGGTTGCTGAATCCTACAGCTCGCTGAAGTCTCACAGGAACCAGTGCAATGGGAGAGGGTAGAGACCGGGAAGAATAACACTGAGCAGACTTAGAGCCAGCTTCATTTGCAGACCAGAAGCAGCTTTGTGTATACAAGTCTGAAGATGGTGCTGGTATGGAAAAGCTGCATTGACTTATTGCTCTAACTTAATATCAACCAGAACCAAAGGCTTGCCCTGTCTTTTTTTAGAGCTATTGACTGCTTTTAAATCCCTGGAGGCTCTCCTACCTTAGGTTGGTAATAGAGTGTCCTCAGAAACCAGTGGATATTTTTCTCAATTACTTTGCAGACAAGATTAACCCTATACATGCCCAGACAGTCCCTGCTCCTGTGTACTTTTAAAATACTATTTCTGAGGGAAAAAAAAAAAAAAAAAAAGAAAGTTGCTTTGTCTCTCAATACCTTAGTCTGAATCTTTATGACACTTGCCCGTGATTGGCAAGGGTCAAGAAAGAGCTGGCATTTAGAAACATGGGCTTTATCACCTATTTGTTTCCCTTCTCTTGTCACTCAGTAAAATGTTTGGTTGTTAGAAGATACCTGTAGGAACACAGATATTACCTTGCCAGGGGTTTGTCTTAGAGGGTTAGTTTAAAATAACAAAGATATTGTAAGTTGGCTGAAATCTGGCAGGGAAAAGGCCGAATGGAGGTTGAGGGCCTCAAGGAGAAGAGAAATAGTCAAGGACTGCTGCAAGAAGATTAACTAACAATTGCAAGACAGAATTAAGAAAAAAAAGAAAAGGCATTTGGCTCCTTTTCAAGAAAAAAAAAATCCCACTGTTGATGTCTATTAGTCTTCTTATGAAAGGAATGAAGGCTATTACTTGCGTCTTCTAAAGGTAAGCAGAACAAATCACTAGAAAATATGCTTTAGGGAACAATCTTGCTCTGGCAGAGGATGATGAAATAAATTACTCCATGTTTCTTTCTTACTGTCTGCAATTCAAGGTAAGCTGCCTTTACAGGAGATGGCAGGAGAAAAAAGGCATGTGGAAAGAGCCTAATCTTTCTCTGGCCAGGTCTGCTAATTCAAGTCCAGCCTCAAACTTTACTGCTTGTTTGTTCTGCCGGACCCTACCACAGCCCCAGAATGGCTTTGGAAACACTTTGCAGATAACAACTAACCACACACCGGGCTGCCGGGCAGTTTGTAGCACAGAGGTTGCCATGGCAAGGGGTCATCTCTGGAGATGGACCACACTGGGCTTGCTCCCTAGTTGTTACTTCTGCACCTTCCAACCATTCCTCCAGGTGCTGGAGGTGCCATGAACACATGTCTCCTCGGCCTGTCTAAAACTTGGTTGCTTGTTTGGCCTGAGGCTTTCTTAACACAGTCAGCAGTTGGTCAGTTTGGACATGTATGTCGCCTGGACTTCAAATCGATGCATTTTTTTTGCCCTGCTCTGAAAATACATAGAATTGACTTTATGGATTTGTGCACTTGATATGAACACATTTTGCAAAAAGGACAAATGTTTTTAAATATTCATGGAAATAAAAACCTGATCCAGAAATGTCCAGGGAAAAACAAACAAAAAGTAGTAACTGGGGGTTGCCTTTTGCAGTCTCTCTGTTGAAGTTTGTGCCTGTGACATATTTCTTTTTAATCCAAGCTTTCCTTCAGAAACAGTGGTCCTAGTCCTGCTTTGCATAGAGTGGAAGAATAAATCTGCATGTGGTCAGAGCTGTTTAGTATTTCAGTAGAGTCCCATGGGGTTGCAGTAGTCCATGAGCATGCCCTACAGAGTGGGATGGGAAAAGAGGATTAATACAGTCCCCAGAGGGTGGCCCTCTTGTGACTTTTCGAATCAGGTAAAAGAAGAAGAGCTTAAAAAGAAAAGTGCAGTTGACTGAAAAGGCACAGAAACCTTTAAAAGCTTGCTGATGTGGCAAGAGCTTTGCCTCTTGGAAGCAGTCTACAGAGATGAGGTCTCAACACCGCTGCGTAAATCCCAGGATGTCTCTACATAATTCACATCAGAGTTAATCCAGATCCATGTTTATGAAACCAGAAAAAACGCGACCCTGCTATTTATCATGACACTTACTGCTCTTTTTTTTAATTATGTCAAAAGTCTCAGACAGAATCATCCCTTCCTTCTTGTCAGCGCTGGCTACGATGCTAATAAGAAAAGATTGTGGGGTTTTTTTGTTGTTTGGTTTTGTTTTTTTTTAATAAGATAAATGTTTCTCTTCTGATTAGCATCTGACTGATTCTCTTAAGTGCCTCAAGGCAGGGCTTGAGGAGGGAATGCAAAGATGTGGGAGGGAAGGCCATGCCACACATAAGTCATTGCACGGACGAATGGGTGAAGAGAGGCTGGGAGAAAGGACGTGAGAAAACACGATGGCTCTTATCAGTGGAGCAGGGGCAGGAGAGTGACATGATACAACATTACTGAATTAGTCGAGGAAACCATGGCTTGCCAGATTTTGAAGATAAGAGTGAGGATTATGACTCAACATGGGGAAGGGAGTCATGGGAAGGATTTAAAGACGAGAGAGTTTCGGTCATGGGAAGGCATGGGAAGGCCGGCATGCCAGTGAGTGCTCCACACCTCCCTTCCCATTGGTACCTGCTGATGGGAGCCCTAGATACATCCTAGTTTTGGGAGAGCTGGAGAAAAGCTTGACTATGA